TAGGAGAAAACATTCGGGACTTGGACTCTAAACTTCCAATAGCTGAATTTTCCTACAACAACTTTGTTAATCGAACTACGGGTCTAAGGGGTTGTTTGGTTTCCTAATAAAGAAATTCAGTGTAAAGTAAATGTAATGTAAAGTAAATATATTGTATTCCGAATACTTTGAGGCTGTTTGGTTGTCTATAAAATAAACGCAAGAGAATTGTTTCCCTTATTTGGTTAGGTATATCCGTCGCAATACATCGCTGATGCTTCGGAGGAATTATTTTCGTTCCGCTCAAAACAAACCAAACGACCTAATTTATGAAATGCACGTAAATAAATTACTTTACCCTCCTAATTCTGCATATCAAACAACCCCTAAGTCCCGCTGAAATTGTTTATGGGTATCAACCTAGACAACCTATAGATCTGATCCCTATGACTTCTAAGATTAGAATATATGAGTCTGCATCTGCATTTGCATCTCATCTTCAGGAATTGCACAAAAAAATTAATAAAAGAATTGAACAAAGCAATGCTAACTATAAATTTAATGCAGATCTCAAGAGAATAAAAAAAATTTAAGGTTGGAGATTTTGTAATGGTTTGGATTTGTCCGGAATGGTTTCCTCAAGAGACCGTTAAAAAGTTATATGCTAGAAGCGCTGGACCTTTCAAAATAATTTCAAAAAAAAATTATAACGCTTATCTGCTATACCTACCTGAAGTTCTTAACATAAATCCTACATTTAAATTGAAGATCTTGTAACCTTTTAAGGACCAAAGTTTAACCCAAAAAATCAACTAAATAATGAGCCTTGTGAGACCATACCTAGTGAGAACCCTAGCCTACCTTCACTTCCAAATATCCCTACTCTATCTAGTGCAGAAAAGATCGAAGCAATACTTAATGATGAAATCATCTCCACCAAATAAGATGGATGCCAAAGGTATTTGATTCAGTGGAAAGGGAAACAAGAGACGGAAAACACGTGGATTGATCGGGATGAGCTGTAGAGAGTGGATCCAGATCTTTTAGAGTTATACGAGAGTTCTCATGACACTCACTCGACGGGGTCGAGTTTCCTCCCACCTAGGGAGAATGATGAGGACATCAACAGAAGATTTTGGCGTGTTTATCAGATGAGACACCATAGATTAGCAACCATGATTATGACTTTTGATGCATTTTATTTATTGTTTATTTTATATTTTAGTTTTTCCTATTTTACCCCTGTGGGTAGTTTGCTTGAGTTGTAGCCTTGAGGGCATCTCAGTCTTTTCTTTTCTTTTCTCTTTCAAAACCTATATATGATGTCCTTAGTCTTGTATTAGGGTTAATGCTTATTATAAAAAAAATTGATTTCTTCTTGAACTTGTGAGTTCTTAAGTGGTTAAGTCCCAAGGTATGGGCAAAGCAACACCAACCAGTCGGTGGAAGTGTCTCCGACTCGTGGTTCAAGTTCTTCTCCTTGCATTAAGCCGCTGGATCCCCTCCTTTCCCATTGCTTTAAGCCGTCGGCCACCTCCTCCCCTTGCTCCAACCGCCGGAACCCTCCAACTACCATCCTACCTGTCGGCCCTCACCCCATCCCCATCTATAGCCGCCGACCCAGCCCCCTCAACCGTTGGCCATGCCCATTTCCCAAGCCCCACCGCCGGCCACCCCACCTTTTCCCCTTAATGTTGATTTCAATCATCATTATTAGTTACCTAAATTGTTCTAAATGATTTGAAAAAGAATAAATTCAATTTTTGAAATTCAAATTTGAATTCCAAACACCTTTCTAAATTAACTAAATCTAAATTAGGAAAGTTCCTAAATCTGAATCTAATTTAATTTTAAATTAGATTGGATTTAATTATCATTTTCCTAAATTAGACCCATAAATTAGGAAGCATTAAATTCCCTCCAAATCCTCTCCTTTTCCCCATGCTTGCTGCCGGCGCCCTCCTAGCTTCTCTCCTCTCTCCTCTCTCCACCTCAATTTCCCTCCACTTGAATTTGAACTTCAAATTTCAAATTCCAAATCTCATTTCCTATGTTACTAAATCTGAAATTAATTTCAGATTTTTTGTACCTTACCCTATATGAAACCCTAACCCTAATTTCACAAAACGTCCCTTCCCCTTCTAGGCCACCCCCTCCCTTTCTTTTTTCCTATTGGATTTTATCCCCTCATGAATAGTATTCCAAGAGAAGGAGAAAACACACATCCTCTCCCACTCTTGCAAGTGGATGACCAATTCTAAAGTAGACTATGGCTTTGCATACGATTCTCAAGGGCATATATATATTCTTCAATCGTCGTTCTTCGACCCCGACTAGGAGATAGAAGACACCGTCGACGATTATGTCGACCGTATCCTATTCCACTTAGCTAAGACTATCGATGAACAACTACCCTCTGGACAGTGTCAAATCGTCGGACATCCACCCGCGTGTTCTCCTCCGTCTACCTTCCTGTGGATCAAGACCCTTGGTGTCCTATCACTTTTGGTGGCATCGCTAAGATTGTTGGCATCTTTTTTCCGTTAAATCCCTTCAAAGAGTGTGAGTGAGGAAAACTCGAGGTGACTTTTCTAGATGTTATGTGGTGGATTTAAAAGTTTACAGCATTTAAGTTTAGGTTTACGTTTGAAGTTATTTTAAGTTCTTGTTCTTCTATTGTGTAACCGATTACCGTAACAATTTTGATATCCTTAATTTCTTAAATCCCATCTGGTGAAACTTTAATTTATTGTTACTATGCTTATATCAAATTTTATTAATTTCTAAGCAATTCCTAGTTTGTTTTACATCACCTTGTTGTTCACACTATCTATTTGGCTCATGCAACCACTAAGCCATCATTCAAAGTCCAACTAAGAAATCTAAGCAGAAAGGGATCATGTAAAATTGTAAATGGCTATGCAGAATCAGTTAGCCTCAAAATTTAATATGATCTATTTAACAAATGAAAATAAAACATGTTTAGTGTTTTGTAAATTTCTTCATCATAATAATCATTAGCCTTATCACATGTATTTATAGTTAGTCTTATAAATACTTATTTTCTATTCAAGTTAATGATCAAAATGGCCTATAGATTTTTTTAGGTTTGTCTATTTTAGTTCTAGATTTTCTCAGTGCTCAATTTAGTTTCTCGACCAAGTAAATTTAAATTAATTTGATCATATCATCAACTTTACTATTTCCTTAGATAGAATCAGCATAGAAAAACTTTTCCTGAGATCATTTTAGACTTTGCAAGAGTTAATTTCACTGTTTAATACCAACTCAATTTAAAGTGATTGACCTTAAAAGGCCATAAGGAGGAATACATTTATTAAGAGGTTTGATGGAGAAATATAGAGACAATAAGGAGGATCTACATATGATATTTATTGATTTAGAAAAAGCATATGATAAAGTTCCAAGAGAAGTGCTATGGAGAGTTCTTGTAAAGAAAGGAGTCAATAATGCTTATATTCAAATCATTAAAGATATGTATGCAGGTGCTATTACTTGTGTTCAAACACAAGGTGGATTGACCAAGTATTTTCCTATTTCGGTTGGGTTACATCAAGGATCAGCCTTAAGCCCGTATCTTTTTTCTTTGGTCATGGATTTTCTCACTAGACATTTGCAAGAGGATGTACCTTGGTGTATGTTTTTTGCTGATGATATTCTTTTTGTTGATAAGACTAGAGAGGCAGTTGAAGGTAAACTTGAATTATGGAGGTCAACCTTAGAGTCTAAAGGTTTTCGCTTGAGTAGATCTAAAACGGAATATATGGAGTATAATTTTAGTAGTAATAGACCTAGTGAGGGGATTGTGACTTTGGGCGATCAAGTCATTAATAAGAGTACACATTTTAGATATCTTGGATCTATTGTTCAGAGTGATGGTGAAATAGATGGGGATATTATCAGCAGAATTCAAGTTGGATGGTTGAAGTGGAGGAATGCATCGGGCTTGTTATGTGATAGAAATGTACCCCTCAAACTTAAGGGAAAATTCTATAAGATGGTAGTGAGGCCTGCAAGGCTTTATGGTGCCGAATGTTGGTCATTAAAAGAGAAGCATAATACTAAGTTAACTGTGGCAGAGATGAGGATGCTCAGGTGGATGAGTGGCTTTACCCTTAGAGATAGGATACGAAATGAGCATATACGTGAAAATGTTGGAGTAGCTCCAGTAGAAAATAAGATTAGAGAGAGTCGCCTTAGATGATTTGGTCACATAAAACGGCGGCCTTCCGATGACCCGGTTAGGAGAGTAGAGGTATTAGATTTGACTTATGTTAAGAAAGGTAGGGTTAGACCTAAAAAGACTTGGTTAGAAAATATTAGGAATGACATTTCTTTATTAGATTTAAACGAGAATTTGAGTTTTAATATGACACAATGGAGAAAAAGGATTCATGTAGCCGACCCCACGTAGTGGGATAAAGTCTTGATGTTGTTGTTGTTGTAGTGTTGCAAGAGATCTTAAATGTATTTTCCATAAATTATTTTTGAAAAACTTTTCACAATTCTTGCATAAATCTTTGGATGGTACGTCATATTAACGTTAAACTCTCTTCTCCAACAATAGCGGTTTTATCTTTTCCTAAATTTGAATATAAAATTCCTTCTGAGATCTGTAAATGGAAATGAGGCGAATCATTCACTGTCAAAAACCATTATTCCAGCTTTCAGATTTTGGAAGCTGCATATCCTCAGAGGTTCCTTCACCTTCACAAGGTAGAAAAACCTGGAGGTGTAAAGAACGGTGAAAATATTTGATATCTTCATTATTTTTTGCTCTTGCATCAACTGCTCACAGAATTTCTATCACTCATAAATGAATATTTGATCAATTTGCATGTTTTTCCTTGGTAAACCTTTTTCTGTTGTTGTAGCTTGGATTTCATCTATATGGTTTTAGAGATTTATCTTATCTACAATTCTAACATTCAAGAAATTGTCCATCAACAGTAATCCCATCACTTTTTTTCAGTGTTATTCTGACTCATATTCTGTTGAAGGCCCCTTTCTGTAGTATACAGTGAAAGTGAAATCCAGCAGTGGCGTGAGGCACGCAAGAAGAATTTCCCTACCAGAACTAACATTGAGAAGGTATGTCTTAATGTCTTAGTATCCCCCCTCTCTTTCTCTTTTCCTCTCCCTCTCCCTCTCTCTCCCTCTCCCTTTCTCTCTCTCTCTCTCTCCAAGGAAAAAGAAGTTTTAAATAAATATTGTGTTCCAGAAGCTGAGCCCAAGCAAGGAAGACATAGATTCACGTGCTAAAGTACGCCGGCAGGTATTCATCTTTATTCTCGATGACACAAACTCCCACCCCATCATCCTTCTCAACTGACAAAGTCATTTTTTCTGGCCAATCATCTCATAGTTAGTCTTATTCCAACTATTTGCGGTTGGCTACATCAATCCACATTTTTTAATCTCCATCTTATTAGTTCCATTTGAGTTATTTTATCTATTTTCACATAGAATCAGAAAAAACTTTATCAACCTATTTTATCGGTGCACTTCTTATTAGCCATGATATTCATAAGCAATAACACCCTCTTTCTGCAGCAACTAAAGGAAGTTCTAGCAAAACAGGCAGAACTCGGAGTTGAAGTCGCTGAAATACCTTCAATCTACCTTACTGAACCAGAAGATCAAGCATCGAAAAATGTGAATGTTAGTGAAGCATTAAATACAAATATTGAAACTAAATGCAAACTTTCAACTAGCAAAAAGAGAGGTAGGTTCCGAAGCAATAAGAGAAATGCCAAAAGGCTGAAGTTTAGGAATGAGGCAGCCCTTTCTCATGAACCAGTTGTCAAGAGGAGGGAACCAACCCTTCTGCGGAAGCTTCTGAATGGTGATATAAGGCACGATAAGTGTCAATTACTGCAAGCTTTCAGATTCATGGTTCTTAATACTTTCTTCAATGGAGTGCCTGATAAGCCTTTGTTATTCCCAATAGTCACAACAAAAGATGGTGTGCTTGAGCCAGAGGTGTTTCTGGAGAAGAAACCATTTCAAGATAGGATAGATTCTGAAGCTAATTTACTAGCCAAGAATGGAAGTGATGAAGAGGTTGAGACAGCAAAATATTCAACTGTAGTTGGAGCTGTAAAGGGGGAGTGTGATGAGGATAATGACTTTGATGATGCTAGTGATGTAGTATGTGAAACTATTGGCGAGGATTTCATCTTACATGATGGTGATAAATCTGAGGAAGGAGAGATCACTAATTAGCAGGGAGAATTTAATTAACAAACTTAATAAGCTTTACTATTATGAAAGGTTCAATCAAAATGGGCAAGGAGGCTAATGGAGAGGAAGCTGTTGTGTATTGCTTTTGTAATTTCTGTTTTTGTATTATAATTTTGAATTTATTTTTGTTCTCTCTCTCTCTCTCTTATGCATTTAAGATGCACTTGGTGATGATGAACATATAACTCTCTGATGATTCTATCATCATCATGATATTTTGTGCATTTTTGTCACCTTGCTGTTAATTATAGAAACTCAAAGAAGAGAGTTGTTAGAGTGCTCCAAATTTGTGTTGAAGCTCCAGCATTTTATGAAGTTAACAGAAGGCTCCCAGCTGTTACAATTTCTCATTCCACACAGAGAGGGCTGTTTAGTGCAGAAGCTTTTCTATGAAATCTGACCAAAAGAAATTCCTATACTCAGTTTATTATAGTGAGGAGATTAAGACTTGGAAAATTTTGTACATCTCCACAAGCAAAAAAGTTTGTTGGTGCATTCGCTGATATTAAGGTTTCGTTTGGGGAGATTTTTTTACTACTCAGTAGCTTTTTAGTATAAAAATTAAAATTTTTGTACTAGAAAGTTGTTTTAAGAAGCGCTAAGCTGTGCCATATGAAGCCTATATTTTGGGGCTGATTTGATTTGCTTGTCATTGTTGATAAATTCGTTAATAAATTATGTATAAAACATAGTCGAATGATCTATCTTATAGACATATTACTTTATTATATATTATTTATATATTTAACATTCAAAATATTAATATTACATGCTTACCACTCATATTAGCAATGCTATGATGCTTGAGGCTGTTATTAGTGCTAAATATGAATAATTTTGTCTTAATTTGTGAGGGGCTAGCCATATTTTTATTTGCAAACAATCTATGAAATGTCTAAAGAGAGTGAAGGAGCAGGAACGAAGAGAGAGAGAGTTAATTCTAATGGTAAGAACTAAGAAGAGTCTATATCAAGTTGAAAATAATTTTTTGGTGATATTTATTCATGACTTCTCTATTGTATTTTGTTTTGCAATTAAATGAACTTTGTTTTCACTATTTCTAATTTCTTGACTAGGTTTTTTTTTGGCATATGATGTGTGAGAAATCATGTATGCTTAAGTTTGGATCTTAATTTCATGAATCATTTGAATGAGATTTTTAATTTCCTTGTACTAAATTTAGTTTCTTCATATGTCTTGCATGAACTTAAAAATAAGAGTGATATATTACCACAACGAAGGAATAGAGGAACTATTAGGAGAGTTAAGACTAAGCTCTATCATGCATAGATATATGGTGACTAGAGTTTTAGAAATTAAGCAGACATAATCACTAAAGTTGAGTAAAACCTTAGCTAGGCACTCTTATATGCTCCACAAAGATTAAGAGTAAAACTACTCTGATTCATAGCAACATTAGTAAAGTCCAATTTTTGCATTCATGAATTTCTAACCATCATAGGTTCAAAACACATTTTAATATAGAATTTCTCTTTTTGTGGCAATATATGCTTGTTCTTAATTGTTACCTTATTCAATTCCTTATAATCAATGCACATCCTCATTAACCCATCAATTTTTCTTAAAAATAATATTGGTGCACCCCATAGAGATACACTGGGTCAAATAAATCCTCTATCTAATAGCTCTTGCAACTGAATGTTCAATTCTTATAATTCTTTGGGTGTCATTCTATAAGAAGCTTTCAAAATAAGGGATGTATCAGGCACCATCTCAATATAGAACTCTACCTCTCTCTAAGAAGATAAACTTACCAACTCTTCATAAGATACATCAAGGAACTCCAATACTATAGGGACGTCATTAATCACTTTGATATATTTACTTCCACCTTTCACATATGCTAGAAACTCAGAGTTTCCCTTCTTCCATAATTTATCAACTTGCACAACTGATATTAAAGATGATAATACTCCTTTAGAACCTTGGAAATAAAACATCTCTCCATCAACACATAATGCTACCCTCTTTCAATTGCAATCAATCTAAGCTCCACACTTACTTAATCAGTCCATAACCAAGATAATATCAAATTTGATCAAGCGTAACATAATTAATTTAGACTCCAACTTCCTATATGCGATTATAATCTCACATATATATATATTTGGCTAGCAATTAAATAATCCCCTATAGGCAACATAACAAATAATCTAGAAAATAAAGATATATGAGATAGACTTAAGGAATCTAGAAATCTCTCAGAGAGAAAAGAGTAGCTAGCTACAAAATCAAATAAAGCTCGATAATAATGAGAAGAAATGGAAATCGTACATATCACCATGTCTATAGTATCCTTAGCCTCTAATTGAGTCAAAAAATAAACTTTAGGCTGAGCTGGAGTGATATTAACTATGGCATTAGTCTCTCTTTGAACTCAACTTAATTGCCTCCTAACAAATTTTCCATCACCCCTACTCGATCTCTCACTAAGAATTCTTGATAGAACTACCTTTGACTATCTATCAAACTTATAGCCTCCTCTGACTATGGATCTCCCTTCCCCTCTATGGGGATACTGAGCTATTATGTTGCCAAACTAGCCACACCTAAAACACTGGCCAGTGAATAGAAAACAATGGCCCTAAGGCCTCCTACCACAAGAACCACTTATTGTAGTGCTACTCATAGACACAAAAAACTTGCAACCCAGAAGCTATTGTACCTCTCCTCTATAACTCACTAGCCCTAAATTGTCTCTCTTCCCATTGGCTCCACTCTTGGATGGCTCCCCACCAAGCTTCTTCTTACTGGCATCCTAACACTACTAGGTCGCTATCAGGTCATTATCTATCAATTTAGCTCTCTTCGTGAGCTCAATGGAATTCCTAAAGGAGCTAATGAGTGCCTAAGACTACCTCTCAAATCTCTTAACAATTGGTTACACTTAGCTTCAGGAGTGCTAAATAATTGTGGGGAATACCTAGCTAATGTGATTAACTTAGCTTCATATTGCATCGCATACTTACTTCCTTACACCAACCTAAAAAATGACTCTTACATATACTGCTTAGCAAATGGTGACACAAACTAGACTTTAAACATTTTAAAAAACTCATCTAAGAAATTCTTCACATTCATTTTCTCTTAATATTTCTATTGGCCTAACCAACAGTGCTCAGCTTCTCCATCTAATAGAAACAAGGCTAATGTCTCCTTCCAACTCTCAGAGCCCTACATATTATCAAATAATTTTCTATCATTGATAGTCAATCCTTAGCCACTCTAGGCTCTATAGCACCCTAAGAAGGGTGAGGCTTTAGCCTAAAAAATATATGCAAATGCTTATTTACTTCATTTACCCTTGGTATGGATATTATACTTTGTGCTTCACCCACTTGTTTGGCCATTAAGCTAGGAATCTGCATCATTGAATTATATATTATTGCCCTTGCAACACTCTATATAGTCATTGATTGACTGAAACTCTATTTATTAGCTACCTATAGATCCTGGTGATTCATACTTTTCAATGCTTTCACCTACCACATATGCATAGAATTCAACTTATTGCATATAAGGATAGACATACATAAAATAAGTTTAAACTACCCCAACTTCTTAGCACTTATCTACCAATCATTCATATGGCCCTAATTACAATTTAATTGTTACAAACCATTGCTCTAACACCATTAAAGGTATTGCCACAAACTAACCCAATACAACCTATTACACCCAAATATGTCAAATTATGTTAAGGTCATAACAACGGACTTATTACTTCCCAAGACCAAATTGGAGGAATTATCTTACTTTGTATTTTCCTCAATATACAATATATATAAATTGTAATTTATCCAATATACATGAAAATGAAACATCTTTTTCATTTCATCAAACTTTACTTTCAAAAGAATAATATACATTAATCATGATTTAACTTTCTTTTCATCAAAACATATATTCATGACTAACAAAAGAATGTATATATTGAACATACAAAGATTTGAGACTCAATTTGGTAAACAATCTCTATTAACCCAATTTACTCAATTGGAGCTTTACCATTCCTGAAAATATTTACAAATATATAGGGTGTAAAATCACAGACTTAGTAGGTCATCAAAAACCTACTACTTTAGAATTCAATATAATTATTATATAAGAAATATATTTTATATAAATCTACAATATATGAATAATAAATCAAATTTAAAAGTGAACTATCCTAATATTTGTATTGAAATGTATTTAGCAATTTTGTATTATTATGAGATAAATGTTAAGAGTATGCACATATAACTATAACAACATATGCATTCCTTGTACATAACTTTAAAACAGGAGTAACATTTCATAGCATCACATAAACATGATTTCCTAACTTAAGCATTTCATTTAATATAATAGCATAATATAAGGAACATGTCATGCCATAAAATCAAATGGATGAATTAATAACATTGAGAAATAATCACATAATATACAAAATTTACATTTATAAAAAAAAAACTTTCATTTAAAAAATAATTATCTAAAATAAAAACTTATCACCACATATTGGGATTTCTTATATCCAAAATAAAAAGAAACTAAATCCTCAAAAAAGTGCCTTGACAAAAAGACCCCTTCATGAATTGGTCCTTATCAACAGTACTCAACTAGACCCTTTTCTTTTCCTAAAATTTCATAAAGACCACAATGAGCATTCATGTGCTTAGTAGGCTATTCCAATCTTTATTTTAGATATCAATCCATGTTTTCACATTTATGCATGTGTAATATTTAGCGATCAGTTACAAATTTACAGTAAATGAGTTAAGCATGCTTATATAAATATTAACACAATTATATACTCAATGCTATAGAAATAATGTGTATTTTTTAAACTTTCTTATTTCAAACTTATATTAGTATAAAAACATGAATATATATAGAAGGAAGAATACTACTTGAACATGTTTGTCACCATGTAAGGAACAAAATCATTAATAGTGTCATAACCTGATTCATTTAGTAGAACGATTATTATGTGAATCTGACTTATTTACTTATACATGTTTATACAATATGTAATATGTGATGCACATGTCTCGATGCATGCTTATATCTTCACTTCCGCTTATACATCTCTTTTTATCTCCTATATCCATACTTGATAGATAGAGCTAGAAATGGAATCAACCTCCCACATCTGCACTAGATAAAAGGGGCAAGTACCTGCCCACATCCACACATTAGGGCCAAAACAGAATAAAAACAAAACAAAAAGTCAAGCCATATAATAAAACTAATAGTGCATTTTACATTTCATCACATCATAACTCCTCCAATGACATGATATGTAATCACTAAATTAATATACTTGCATAATATTGAATATGTG